TTAAAGGATCGTTTCAATGAGTAGAGACTTCAGATGCCAGTTACACTTGTCAGCACTTTTTAAGATATAGTTCCCTGTTTTCAAGCTTTTAATGCTGTTGAAAATCATGTATTAGTTTGTCACGCTTTTGTAGGTACTCTGACTGCTTTTAAGAAAGTATTTCTTAGGTTTTCTGCAATTTTATTATGCTGTGGTGATGGGCGTGTGCCATCAAGTCAGGTCAGACTCAAAGCGACTCTACACAGGTTTTCCAAGGCTGTAAATCTTTACAGGAGCAGAAAGCCTCATCTTTCTCCTGTGGAGCGGCAGTTGAATTTGAACTGCTGACCCGCAGTTAGGAGCCAGGCTTGTAGCTCACTCTGTTGCCAGTGCTCCTTTTATTCTGCTGTCTCTACATACAAATGTCCTTCTCAAAGATTCCACTTGTGTCTAACTGGGTTCCTTTAATGTATGGTCTCATCACATTGTCCAGTTTTGGATAAATCTTAGCTATTTTCTCTTCCAACATTGTTTCTGCTCCATTCTTGTCATACTTCCCTATTCTGGGACTTAAATTAGTAATTAACTCCTAAATTTCATAATTTTCTTACCCCCACTTTCCACCCTTTTGTCTCTGCTTGCTTCATTCTAGATCATTTCTTCCAAATGATCTTTCTGTTCACTAAGTCTCTCTTCCATTTTGCTACATCACTCATTTAATGTCTAATGTTGTAGTTTTCAATTATATAATTTCTTTTTAGCACTTTCTGAAATAGCTCCAGCTGAATCACAGTCCCTTGTAGTGAGCTTGGTTTATGGTCTATGCTGGAAAGTCTGGGGTTTAATTACTATCTCTTGTTTGGGCTAATTTTTATTTATTTCACTTGTTTCTAGTTTTTTTCCTCCTGTATATTTTATTTGAAAAATTATTTCTAGAAACAATTTAGGCCAGGATGATGTTATCATATACAAGAGAGGGCTTTGTTTTTATCTGGATGCAATAAACATACATTATTCAAAAGAAAACAGAACCAAAATATCAACACATTAACCCAGTATCTCCAATAGAAAAAGAGCCAGAAAAAAAAAAAAAAAAAAAGACCTACAGGCATCAGAAGAAATGGAATTTTAATAAAGATTAGAGCAAAAACAAAGAGAAAAACAAAATACATAAAGAATAAACAAAACTAGAAGTTGGTGCTTTGAAAGGATTAATAAAAGTTAAAAACCACTGAGAAATTTAACAAAAGAAAAGAAGACGCGAACGACACAAATAAAAAATGAAAGGCGGGAAAGAGGAATCAAGGGGAATGCCACAACAGAACCTACCGGAACAGGGGATGATAGCAGCACACTATGAAGAACCGTACAACAAATCTCAAAACCTAGATGAAATGAAACTTCTAGGAATCTACTCAAACTAAAACAATCTGAGGTAGAAAATCTGTAATTGCTCAGGTCATTCAAAAACTCCCAGGACTTCCAGTAAGACTGCAGACTAGGTGTATCACTACATGGACCCCCTACAACAAAGACACAACAGAACAAATAAAATGAACACAGAGGAAAATTCGGGCAGAATTAGACAAGTGGATGGAGTGCTTGCTGGCAGGAGAAGGCACGCAGGGACAGATGCAAGGGAGAGTGACTGGTAAACAGCTGGTCAGGCGCAGCTCCACCAACTCTGAAGCAGCTTTTGCCCCCAATTTACATTTAGACCTACTGCAACTTAGTTGACTCCAACTCATACAGGGTTTGAGACCGGAAATCTATGCGTGTGTGTGAACTGCTGACCTTGCACTTAGTCACTCAGTGCTGATCCTACAAACGCCACTTGGGTTCCTTTCATTTTGGTAGGAGGTTAGGAATTTTCAGTTTTGTTTGTTTTTCCCACTAGTCTCTAGCACCTAGAACAGTTCCTGGCATATAACAGGTGATCAATAAACATTTGTTACTCAGAATATCAAAACTATTCGTCTCTTAATTTCTCTAATTTGCTCTTAAACTTAGAAAGTTTGCTATACATCCTGAGGTTCAGTATCTACATTTGAGTTTACCTTACAGCATTTATACCATTGTGCAATCCTGAATACTTGAAGAATAAGTATCTTTCAAGATCACATCTTCCATATGCCTTTTTTTTTTTCTTTTCCATATGCCTTTTTAAAGTTATTATTAAAACAAGTCTGGACAGTCTTATATAGTACATACCCTCTCTACAATTTGGAATGAGAATCAATGGAGGTGGAGACACTACAAACACTGTGTTTCCTAGGATATTTCATTTTCAAACTGACATTCTTAAACTAAGAACAATTTTTTTTTTAATTTCACGAGACAACATTTTAATCAGACTTCTATTCAAATTAAATAAGCTACTAAAATATTGAATGATGTTTACAGGTTTAAGTTTTATATATTTTGAATTTGGTTCATTACTTTTCAGTCAGTATTTTGTTCAGTCTTTATTCAAAGTTTTAAAATTTGCAAGTGATATGAGACTATCCCAGCATATGCAAAGTCTCTAACATACAGCTGAAGTATTTTCTGTGTTTTCTATACATACTTGACAGAAGTCCAGCCCACCACAGCCACTCTTTAAGATACGCATGGCCGCCTTGACCTGTGAATGAAGAAACACGTTACTGGTTTTGAAGATTATTAGACTCATAAATTATAACAACTATGAGTACTGATAGACATTTTCATCTCATTTTTTAACTACTATACTCGAGTAAAGGAATTAAATCAATCATTATAGTCAGTTGTTTTGTTGTTGTTGTAAACTCAGTTTCAATACACAAAGTAAAGAAAAACACCATTAAGAAGTAACTCTAATGGAGGCAGAGACGACGTGGAGAGATGGAGCAGCTAAGGACTTTAGATCCAGAGAGGGAGAGGGGCTGTGTGCTGACAACCGGGGGGGCAACCCTTTGGTTGGTTGATGATGCATGGAGGGGATTGTAACCATGGCAATGAAACGATATACAATAGGATGAATGTAAAGCTAATGTTCACCAATGTAAACTATCACATAATTCACAATAAAACATAAAAAAAAAAAGAACTAGCTCTAACTTCTAACGAATTTAGTCTGACATTTAAGTATGGTGAACCTACTTCTGATATAGTCACCTTGAGTCCTATGTTCCTATGCTCCTCAGACACAGATTAAGCACTGCTCAGAGTCTGGGGCCACCAGGATGAACATCTGCTGTTTTCCTTGACTGGCATTTCAATCAAACTAATAAAGTAAGGAAGTCATCGGTACTTAAGCTATTGTCCAAAAGAAAAAAATCAGTATGAATGAATGATTTGCCAACTATAACCATTACGTAAGACCAAGAATGAGGGGTTGAGGAACAAGCACTAGATGCCAACAAATTCTCCTGTGGAGCCTCTACATTGCATAAGACCATAGGTGGAATCCAGAACCCCATCCAGAACTGACTAAGGTGGAAATTTCCACTAGAAAGGATGAGTAGACCAGCTTGGAGCGGGTATAAGAACAGAAGATACTTCGTCAAAGAAAGACCGGCAGGAAAAATCCAAAACAGTAATGGAAGTTTGATTGGTTACCACAAGAACAAGCAAGTTATCTGCCCGGGAGCCATCAAGGCAAGTGCTCGGGACCCCTCAGGGCAAACCCCCTTCCAAAACTGACACTTAAGGGGAATACATGAGCAGGCATGTGGTCTAGCTGGTGACCATGTTGGTCACCAACAAGGGAAAGAGGGGGAAAAATCAGCAATGAATTTGCGAGCTAAACCCAACCACATTCAATAGACCCCTGTGAACTTGGGTGGAGACCTGGATGGTCAACAGTATGGCAAGACCTGGGGACTCCTGGACCCAGAGGCAGTGACATGGCCACAGAGGACTAGAGCGAAGAGTGAAGTGTCCAGCTGATATGAAATGAGGGGAGATGCACAAGAACACCCATACTTGCAGATAGTACCCACTTGACCTGGCTTCAATGGCTGGATGATCAGAACTCAACTAGAAGAAAAAAGAAGAAGGGGGGAAAAAAAAGAGTAACCTGCTACAATTTGATGAACCTTACCTATACTTATGGATGTAGTAGCTCAAAAAAGGAAACAAATCTTTACAGCGAGGATCACTCCCACACCCTCGGTACACAAGGTTGACAGGAATGGGCAACTTAAGACACTGACTACCCAAAATGGGGGGCCTAAAAAGGCAAGAAGTGACTGGCTTACAAGCTTCATGAGGGAGCATAGTTCCAGATGGGGCAGGGGAAGGTAGAATCACTACTGAATGATTTCTAATGTTTTGGGACTTGACTGGCAAAAGGAAATGGGGATAAGACTCTTGTGGTACAATAGTGAATAATTGCCATCAGGACTGACTGTGATGCTACAAAATATAGAGGTAGATGTTTTTTGACAAAAGGAGGGGAGTGATTGATTTTGTAGCCCAGGAACGGAGGTCCCTGGGACTATCAAGTGAGAACAGAGAGCGGGACCCTAGCTAGAGAGGCAGTGACGCCAGGGATGGAGACAGAGGCGATGACGTAGACAAATGGAGCCGCTGGGGACACTGGACACAGGGAGGGAGAAGGCCTGTGTGGTGTACCCTTTGGTTATCTGATGATATATGGAGTGGACTGTAATCACTGCAATGAAATACAATAGGATGAGTGTAAAGCTGATGTTCTCCCACGTAAACCCACATAATTCACAATAAAACTTAAAAAAAAAAAAAAAAAAAGATCCTAGCCTTCAACAAATTTCTAAGTACTATTTAAGAAACCTTATTTCTTTCTCAAAAGACATACAAAATTTTAAATAAAAGGCTAGATGCTAGTTAGACATTGGTCCCTTTTCCTAGTTTGGTAAGAAAAAAAAAATGGAGCCAAAGGAGTGGGTGGTTAACTTATTTTGACATCTCAGTTTTGAATTCACTCCACAAAAGTAAAAATGGGGGCTCCCGCCGTTAAGAAGCGTGAGGCTAATATCAAACACTGACTGCATTTCAGACACCACCCAACACAAACCTACCTGCTCTCATGGAACCTTTTCTGGCAAGACGCAAGAGGCCTTTTTTTTTCAAAATGAAACTCCCTCCAATGAAGATGCTGGAGCTCATAGCCAGTCCTAGACCAATATAAAAGTCATACTTTCCACGACCCTGGCTCATGTCGTTTACTGCTTAAGACGTTCCTGTGATCCACATTGATCACAGAACACAGGGATTGCTGGGTCTGCAGGCAAGATGACACAGTCTTCAAATCTAAACAATAAAAAACAGAAGAGTTTTATAAAATGAGTATGACAGCTCTCCTGCAAGCCAAAATGTTACTCCATTTACCTTCACTTAAAGGAAGAACATTTTTATTACTTGTACTGATAACAAATACATTAACTATTTAAATTGAACACAAATCTGTTTGTTCCACGATGACAAAAGATGGGATGATGATATAAAACGGTGTTTGCAATGACTTTATAAACTCAGGTTTATATAGAAGAACTTGTTACCATTCCTAGAGGACAGTTCATAGTAATAACACTTTGCTGATTTTTACATAATGAAAATTAGCCATAACAGTATACAAATCTAGCTTTTAATTACATTTACCTCTTTCACAAATATGCTTTTTGAATAATCCATTGAGAAACTAAGTTTCTTCACTCTAACATTTTCAATTATTTCTTAAAATGTGGATATAAGCGTATCATCAGTTATTCCTTATGTTGTTGTTGTTGTTGTTGTTAGTTGCCATCAAGTCGGTACCGACCCATAGCGACCTTATGCACAGCAGAACAAAACACTGCCCGATCCTGGGCCAACCTCACATATATTGCCACGCTTCAGCCCATTGATGCTGCCACTTGGCCAGTCCATCTCATTGGGGGTCTTCCTCTTTTTCTCTGACCCTCCACCTTACCAAACATGATATTCTTCTCCAGCGACTGGTCTCTCCTCACAATATGTCCAAAGTATGAGAGATGAAGTCTGACCATCTTGGCCTCCAAGGAGCACTCTGGCTGCACTTCTTCCAACACAGATCTGTTGGTTCTATGGGTAGCCCATGGCACTTTCAATATTCTCCTCCAACATCATAACTCAAAAGTATCAATTCTTCTATGGTCTTCCTTATTTACTGTCCAAATTTCACATGCATATGACGTTACTGAAAATACCATGGCTTGGGTCAGGCACACCTTAGTCTTCAAGCTGACATCTTCACTTTTCAACACTTTAAAAAGGTCTTGTGCAACAGATTAGCCTAACGCAATACGTCGTTTGATTTCTTGACTGCTGATTCCTTGAGTGTTGATAGCTGATCCAAGAAGAATGAAGTCCTTGACAACTTCAATCTTTTATCCCTTGATAAGAATGTTGTTTATTGGTCCAGTGGTGAGGATTTTTGTTTTCTTTACGTTGAGATGCAATCCATACTGAAGGCTGTTCTCTTTGATCTTCATCAGTAAGTATTTTAAGTCCTCTTCACTTTCAGCAAGCAAGGTTGTATCATCTGCATATCGCAGGTTGTTAATGAGTCTTCCTCCAATCCTGATGCCACGTTTTTCTTCATAGAACCCAGCTTCTCGGATTATATGCTCAGCATAGAGGTTGAAGAAGTACGGTGAAAGAATACAACCTGGATGGTTTAAAATTAAGAAAAGTGTACGACACAGCTGTATTACTTCTAGCAGGGTGAAAAAGAAAAGGCAAGGAACCCTGATGGCACAGTGGGTTAAGCAGCCGGCTGCTAATCACAAGGCTGATGGTTCAAATCCCTTAGGCACTCTGTGAGAGAAAAACGTCTGTTCCCATATGATTGTCTCTAAAACTCTTAGGAGCAGTTCTATTCTTTCCTGTAAGTTCACTCTGAGTTGGAATCAACTTGACGACAGTGAGTTTATAGAGAAGGCAGATTTCATGTTATTTTGTTAGCAAGGGATGGCACTTCTAGCAGATAAATGTTTTCCAGAGGTGCAGGGTGTGCCACCACTGGACTTCAGAGAACATGAAGACAATGGCTCAATGAACAAGACTGAAACAGGAAGTACAGGCTTACAAAAGACTGCAATCACTTTTACAAATGGTCAACTAATGAACTCTGTCGTTAAGTTCTGATTCATAGCAACCCTGTATAGGGCTTCCAAGAAGCAGCTGGTAGGTTTGAACTGCCAACTTTGTGATTTGAAGTACAGTGTTGATCCTACAGTACCACACCAGGAGTCTGAATTCTACTAACATATAATCTAAAGTAAAATGTGGAAAACAAAGAAAAAAACAGTATTTATAGCAGCAGAGTTTACTGCGATTATGACTACCTTCAAGACAGATCTTGAAATGTTCTATTTGATGATGAATGTAACACCACTCCCTCTTCAATTTGTCATTCCTAGCATACTAAACCACATGTCAGACTGTCAGCTTCAACATGGCTAATTATCAGTCCTTTCAGCTCACTAATGCCTAGGATGTCAATCTTTATGTGCTCCATTCCATTTTTGACAACTTCCAATTTGCCTAGATTCACATTTCGTACATTTCATGTTCTAATTATTAATGGATGTTTACAGCTGTTTCTCATTTTGAGTTGTGCCCCATAAGCAAACTAAGGCCCTGAAAACTGTACTCCATTCATATCATCAGGGTGATCTCTACTTTGAGGAGACAGCTCTTACCCAATCATATTTCCAGTGCCTTCCAACCTGAGGGGCTCATATTCCAACACTGTATCTGACAGTACTGTGGTGCTCCTCATGTTTCAATATTCAGTACTGTGGTGCTGACTGTGCTCCACTACTATTCAAAAGGCTACACATGTACAAGTAGTTTGCCTCGCCTTCCTTCCTAGTCTACAAGTCCAGCTGAAACCTCTCCACCATGGGTATACCCTGCTGGCATTTAAAATACAGGTGGCATAGCTTGCAACTTCACAGCAACATGCAAGCCACCAAAGTATGACAAACTGACAGATTAGTCATGGCCTCCCACCCTGGGTAACCACTAATAAACTTTTTTGTCTCCATACATTTGCGTGTTCTTATCTTTTTATACATGTGAGAGCATAAAACATTTGTCCTTTTGTGACCGGTTTATTTCACTTAGCAGGTTTTACCCATACTGGTAGCATGAATGAAGAAATGAAGACTTCTTTCTCCTACTGACTAATAGACAATTTATGTATGTATCACATTTTCCTTACCCAATCATCTGTTGATACGCATTTTGGTTCTTTCTACCTTCTGGCTAGTGTGAACCATGCTGAAATGAACATTAGTGTGAGGTATCTTTTTGTATTTCTACTTTCATGTCTTCTGCGTATAACCACAGGACTGGAGTTGCTGGTCATATGGTAGTTCTATTTTTAGTTTTCTGTTGTTTTTTTTTAAGTAACATACAATGTCAATAAAAGCTGTGTCATTTTGTATTCTAACCAGCAATGGATAGTTGTTGTTGTTAAGTGCCACTGAATTGGTTCTGACTCATAGCTCCTTCCCTATAAGGAGCACCTGGGGAGTTTGAACCACCGACCTAGTGGTTCAAACTGATCTTGAAGTCCAGTGTTTACCCCACAGCTCTATGCCAGGACTCCAGCCATCACATTGTTGTTGTTGTTAAGTGCCATTGTGTCGGTTCCGACCCATCACATTAGGAATGAGTTAATTAAATGTTTGACCAAATATAGCAGACTAATTTTAAGTTAATAATTTTGCATGGTTCGCGAATGATATATAAATTTTGGCAGAAAAAAAGTTCTCCACCGGTCTAGCTAAACATTTGTCAATTTTACTAAAAAAAACAACTTTTGGTTTTATGCATTTTCTCTATTGTTTTTCTCTTTTTTTATCTATGCTCTTATCTTTGTTATTTCCATTCTTCTGGCAGGTTTAAGCTACTTTGCTCTTTGTTTCTAGTTCCAAAAATTTTTAGAGTTAGGCCATTGTTAATTTGAAATTCTTCTTCCTTCTATTTATTTATTTAAAGCATGAAATTTATTTCTAGCAGTTCTTGTATATTCATGTAGGCAGAATGATTTCCTTTCTTAAAAAAAAAAAACAAGGCTCAAAGTGGACTAGCTGTAATAGTTAAAAAGAAACCTTTGAATTGGCTCAAAACAGGATAAAAGTCAGAAATCAGGGCGTCGGGCATGCTGGTTCCTTCTGAGGGCTCTGGGGGACTGTTAACGCATCTCTCCTGGCTTCTGGCTACTGGGGTCAGTCCTTGAAACACAGCACACACTCCCAGGCTCTGCCTTGTCTCCACAAGATGACGCCTTGGGTTCTTCTTGTGTCCTTCCTCATCTTTGTTTCCTACTGAGGTTTCATTACAATCTGAGTGACTGTTTCCAGAGCAGATCACCAGTGTTACAGTCAATAGGTCATAAGCATCTTGTTTCTTCTCACTGACTGCAATCCCCTCCATGTAACATCACTTACAGCACTCCCCCTGCCCCCGAATTTCCTGTTTCCATTTCTCCTTCTTTCTCAACCCTTCTGAGTCAATGCTGCCCTTGGAGCTCACAGCTTTGATTTCTCTAAGGTGTGTATACCGCACTAATGTTACTGTTCCCGTTCTAAACTCGTCTAATGTTTGGTGGAAAATGGAGCTCATTTCCAGACCGGATGGTGGCTATAGACTCAGGGATTCCACCGGTCTCTATCCAACCAATGTGCCTGGTCTCATGATTTTGACTTTTCTTCCATTTTTTCCCCACTCTATCCAAAAACCCTCTACTGTGATCCTTTTTGGAAGAGCAGGTAGTGGCAGCTGAGCACCTTCCAGTTCTTCGGGTCTGAGGGTGGTGAGATGGATGCTCACACATGGTCCACTGGACTAATAGTGTCTAGATGTCTTCAGCTGTCAGCATTGTCCTTTCTGTGGGACAGGGAGCCTATGATTTCACCTTAGACAGCAACACATGAGCTTCTAGGACCCCAGTCACTGCTCACCACAGTAGGATGCAGACCACTGTTTCTGTGGAACATATTATGCCAAGTGACCCTCGAGACCATGGTTCTGAGCCCCAGGATCAGCAAGTCATGCATTCAAGGTGTTAGGTTATGTTTTCCTAACTTTGTCCTTCTATGCTACACCACATCCATAGATACATCTGCAGCAAAGGTAAAAACCCATGTACAAATAGTCTCTGTCTAAACTACATCTGGAGTCCTGGTGTGGCAGGACAAGGTCGGTTTGAACCACAACATTGACAGTTCAAATTCACCAGCCACTTCTTTGGAAATGCTATACAGGGTCGCTGAGTCAG